TATTTTTCTGTAAATCGTATAATATGTTAAAATAAGCGTATGTTGGATTTCGAAACATGGGTCATCGGTATTATTGTCGATGGTAAAAAATCAAATATATGATGTGTTGTCAGCAGCTAACAAATAATGAAATTTATTAAAATTTTCGGGCTTATGAATTATATAGTTAGATTACCTAAAAGTCATCGCATACAATAGCTAACTCACGTCTCGTGATTATCCGTCAAAATAAGCGTTTGGATGAGTTGTCACGCGACGCGTAGATCAAAAACATATGTTCGGGATTTTGAAAGCATTTATTATCGTCAGTAGAGACCATTAAGAGTCCGCCGAGTTTTCCTGGCCAGACATGGCATGTATATACATATTTGCGTCGTCCGGTGTCAATCCTCTGTCRTCCCACAACAGCCAGTATCGTACGAATATAAGACGATAGTATACTAGTTCGTATAGTAAACATAGGTATAATAATATTACAATCTCCAAAAATTAGATATCGTTTTCCTCTAAAAAAAAAAATTCAATTTCCATTTTCCTCCAAATATTAAACTATATTTAGCTTTTTTTAGCTATTTATTTTATTAGTATTAAACTGCATAATTGTACATAAATATAATAATAATATAACTGTAAACAATTTAAAGGGAATTTTTTTCTTATTAATATAACATGAYTTAAAAATATATTTAATATATTATTAATTCCTAATCGGAGGAAAATGTGGTCAAGATTTTTATTTATGAGTATTTATTGATTTTTTGTTGAAAATTGCCACARCCTAAATTACAGTTGCTGCACGGTGAAGTAAAGCCAGTAAAGGATCTTTCAACGAAGCGATTTTAGAATAAGTAGGTCTCCGACTTTGGACCACTAAAATTCAAAACTCGTTCGTCTTGCATGTGCACCTATACATTTTACGTTTAGCGCAGCGGCACCTCGAAGAGCRGGATTTGAGGCGAACGATTTGGGTTGCAAATTTACGTTTATTACCACRAAAACCAAATGTTATAGAGATAAGTTGAAATTTTGCATTTTCTCTGCAACGCCAATCTGACAGACTTTCGACATCGATAGTTATGTCTAAATATAGGACAGTTAACGTGTAGCATACCCAACGAATGTCCGTGACTACGATCTTTACAGCGTTTAAAATTTTCATTCTCAACGTATGTAAGTATTATAGTGTTCTAGTTTTGAATTCTAATTCTAAGTCAACTGGACCGCGCATATACAYTGACGGTAAATATAATGCTGCTCTAATTAGAAAAGGTGAACACGCGGTAAACGTATTAATTATAAGATAGTGAATTCYTTAAAGGTTATAGGCATGCACAATAATTGTATTTATTATACTGGATCTCGTTAATTATTATGTTTTTATTTTCTACTACAATTTATTTAGATAAGTTAAGCATAACATTAATATACCCATTATACATCTTTGTACGGTTAGGTGACGATTATATATTGATTATTGATATGTAAGATAATTTGTACTGATAATTTGTACCGATAATTCAATTATTAGGTAAGTCCAAATTTAAAAACATAAAATATATGTTACTCACTGTTTATGTTGTGCGCAAACGAGTCGTCCGTTACAGGTAAACGGCTGATTTCGTTGTGCGCAAACGAGTCATCGATATCTAGGTAAAAAATGTAGATTGTGCGCAAACGAGTTGCACCGCTTTGTACGTGCTATACGTCAGCCTTAGCCAGGTTAGCCTAAATTTATGACGAKATTTCGTTCAAGTATTACTTCTTCAATTTTTGGTGAGGCTACACAGTTTTTTACGTCCTGTAGTTAATACTCAATACTACAGCGAGACGGTGTATGAGACGAAAACTTTCGGAAATGTCGTTCGATTGTTATTGAAAGGTAGGTTTATAATTGTAGGTTATAATATTATATAGTTGTTTTTACGGCGAATAAGCGATTAGATCGTATTTGAAAATACAATTGTAAGTTTACTGAAAAAGTAAATGAAATTGAATACATTAATAACTAATKTGTTTTTACAATGACTATTCGTGAAATACAATAGGTACATAAAACGGTATGGAAAAAATAACATGATTTATACGACTTTCATAATGATTGTGCTTTTTTCGGTGACATTTAAAATGCTTTTAGTGGTTATCAAACGGTTTAAATTCATGATATTTTATAGCCTCGTGCAAGTTTGGTCGTATTATTGTTTTTTGTCATTTTGTTCCGCACCTACTTTTATTTACTCTTCGGTCAGTTCGCTAATATTATATACCCATGTCGGCTATCAAGTTACTCGTATCGATGCATGGCATGCCGTAAGCGAATTCCCGCTCGACCGAATTCGTAACAAGACGATGAGAGACGAGACGCCATAGTTTCCGGTCCCCTGGAGTGACATAAGATACCTGCAGTACAAAGCAGTAGTTCTACGGACGGGAAGCCAACCCGCGGTGGTTTTCAACCAAGTCGTTATCATCAGTGCATTCTTATTATTAGGTTAGACGCTGTCTTGGATATGAAAATAATTATTCAGTTTTGAAATGTTTGCAGTCGTCGGCCCGTGGGCACAAAGCTGAGTATACGTATAGTTAAAGCTCAAATAATGAACATAATAAAACAATACAGTTTAGCGGTATGCTCAAAAAGTACCACATCGTGTGTACATACACAAGATACGGATTTGGGTAGACGATGTATTTAATGCCCCTAAGYCCCAATCACAAAATGYCGGGAGTGCCTAGACACATCGTGCAGCCACCGTACGCACGAATGTGCCTAAAAACCCATCTGGCCGCATTTACCACTCTCCGAACATTAATTATATTTATGAAATGGTTAAATTGAGTTTAAACGAATAAAATGTTCCAATAATATCACGTTATCGTTTTTTTGCATCATATTGAAAATGATTTCATACCGTTTAATAATATTAATATTATTTTAATTAAATATTCAATTTTTTCTATTTACATTTAAACTCTATTATAGGTAGGTACGCAATGTTTTTGTTAAAAAATATATATATTTTTTTATATTATACATTCAACTCACGACGAAACAATAGCAATATAAGTTATAATTGTTATGGATTTGACRCAATCGTTATAAAATAATTTTAATATTCACCTATAGATAATCCAAATATTATACAATACGAGTATGTCCGTGTATTATCAATTTAGTATTAAGTGCAGCATAGTAATTAACAATAAAAAATATACACGTTCCTATTTTGGCACGTATACTTATTTCGTATGTCTTTCATTATGTTATACTATTAGGTACCCATAGACTATCAAAATATATTTATTTTTTTATAAAAAATACTTTCAAGGTAAATAACCGTATATTATTCTTTATGTTTAACATTATATTTTTWTAGGTAGGTACACCGAAATATTCGACGTTCATTTTTCAATTAATCACTAGCTTGATGTACCTACGTATTAATTTTATTCATTATTAGCTGACGACCTCTCTGTTTTGTGTTCAATCGCAGGATGCGTCATTTTTACGTTATTATTATTTTTCTTCTATATCAAGATAAGTCTAAAAATGTGACGGTGGATTAAGGCCATCTTTTCCAAGACAATGGTAGTCGTAAAGCATCCGAACAGTGATCCTATATACTATAATATGTATACATAGCAACGGTCTGGATCATTATAAAATAGCTTTGAGTAACTAAACTGCGTTGGCCTCAATTTTCGTGGAATTACGAAAAGTAAAAAAAAAAAAAAATACAAAAATGATTAATATATATATAATATGAAGAAAACAAATAATATTATCAACAACGCGKCCGTGACGACGACTGTTCACTTTGGCTAGACTAGATTATTACATTAAAATTAATTCAACTGGACGACGTTTGGCTTCACCGCCGCAGAACGTACGAAACAATTCTAATTAAGGAATTTTACCAAATGGCGACAGCATAGATGACGGGCGCTTTGCCGAATATTATAATGTAATATCGTTATATTATTATATTATCCTCTTTCGGGCGTCGACGGACGGCTGTCCGTCCGTCCAACGGGCTACGTTACATTCCGTCGAAATATTTCCCATACGTCCGATTCGGGTTTCTAAACTCGTTTTCTCACGGGGTTTCGGTGGAGCGGGAGGATAGCGAGAGGAGTCGCGTCAAACGCATCTCGTAAATCACTCAACGGCTTAACGAAAAAAAGAAAGAAAAAACCGAACCAAACAAACGAAGAAATAAAAAAAATAATAATAATAAAAAAAAAGTCCACTCTATATAGGCGGAGGTTGACACAATGTGCACATAGCCGGGACCGTTGCCAAAACTACGACAATGGTGCCAAAGAAAATATAAAATTACTTCTAATTATTTTTAATATACTGGCCAATAAAAACGACGTCCACTGCGGTGACCACGAGGGGGTGTGTGTATAGTATGTGTACGGGATGTTGGCCAATTTGTTGTTCGGTCCGCAAAATGATTGATCGCTACCGCGTGCGCTCAGTTCCTCGCAGTATATGTGATATGGTCGCTTGTCATATTATATTATTATAATATTAGTATAAGTGACGTGCATTTGGTTCATATTATATTTACTATTATTTTGAGCACACGAGTTTGCAGTAGGCATGTTCCCGCGATGCCAGTGAATAGTAAATAACTAAATAACTGTTGTGTAAACGTGCCATGTGAGTGGGATGCAAGGGGATGTAAACCTCATGGAGTTAAAAAAAAAATCAAAAGAAAAAAAGGTGCTTASGAGTGGTGTGATCTAGCTAGAGGCTCAGATCGAGATTTTAAGGACTGGTGAGGTACCTACTAGCTAGTATGGTGAAGCTATAGTAGGTATAGGTTGTAAGCGATAAACTCACATAATCATGCATTGCGGTGAGACTAAAACTCATTACCGGGCTATGCGATGTACCTAAAATAATAATAATCATAATAATAAATAATTAGTGTWATATTATAATATTATCCCGATAAAATGTAATATAACATTATTATATGTTTTTCATACAGGCGATATTGTTCTACACGCCCAGATGGCTGTGGAAACACTGGGAAGGTGGCAAAATCCGGGCRCTCATGATGGACCTGGACGTGGCCATTTGCACGGACGCCGAGAAGAAGCAGAAGAAAAAAATTCTGCTCGACTACTTGTGGGAGAACCTGCGGTACCACAACTGGTGGACCTACAGGTACTAMTTGTGCGAAACGATGGCGCTCATGAACGTCGTTGGTAAGTCTCTTGTAGACATTATAGTATTAAAAGTACCTTTTTTATTATAAAATTTCTATACGTACACGACGGGTCGTWGAGTTTTCTCAAATTTCGGCTGATAACTTTTTTTTTGATCAACTAAATAATATTCAAATACAAAATATAACGTTTCATCATTATTGGGCACGTTTAAACCTACCTATTATATTTGTATGTGTCATGTGATATAATRTAGGTATACATAAATGATTTAATTTTTAATTTTATCTAATATTAAACTTAAAGCCATCCCACATAGACTTATTTTATATATAATATATTATGGTCGTTCAACGATTGATACATTTTTATCAAAACATTTAACGGTAMAATTCTCCTCAAAAATGGTTTTTCTTTGTTTTCAAAATCACAGACGTCGACTAAGCAAATTAGTGTAGTGGTTTATAAATGAATTACTGTATTTTTCTGTAATCTGTATAATAAACATTTATCTACCTACAATCCACTGCCCGATGTTATTATAATATCYGTTACTATCTACTGATGACGACTTAACTTGTTCAATCCGGGTGCGTGGGAAAACGTGATTTCGGCCCACCGTCACATCGTCCGGTGTCCGGGATGTGTCGGTCGCCAATCGAGTCGTATACATAACTCGCTATTTTTCAATTTTACTCGCTCTGAAATGGATGATATTTTATACTAAGGCTAACATTTTTTATAAGCGTTGTGCAAATTTCCCAAAAAATTATAAAAAATACCGAACGAATCGTTAAACTACATCGATAATTTTTAACAACATTATAGTTATTAGACGTTGCGTCATAATATACATATAAATATATATATATATATATGTATATATATATATGTTTGAGAAACAGTTTCTAAAAAAATTGCTACTTAGAAAATGGTTGTCGTGAAATAATAATATTGTAATACGTCTCAATATAATCACATAAAATTTCATATTTTCACTTTTTACACGATGACTGCGACCATGGTAAATATAATTCACTGGNGTTACTATCTACTGATGACGACTTAACTTGTTCAATCCGGGTGCGTGGGAAAACGTGATTTCGGCCCACCGTCACATCGTCCGGTGTCCGGGATGTGTCGGTCGCCAATCGAGTCGTATACATAACTCGCTATTTTTCAATTTTACTCGCTCTGAAATGGATGATATTTTATACTAAGGCTAACATTTTTTATAAGCGTTGTGCAAATTTCCCAAAAAATTATAAAAAATACCGAACGAATCGTTAAACTACATCGATAATTTTTAACAACATTATAGTTATTAGACGTTGCGTCATAATATACATATAAATATATATATATATATATGTATATATATATATGTTTGAGAAACAGTTTCTAAAAAAATTGCTACTTAGAAAATGGTTGTCGTGAAATAATAATATTGTAATACGTCTCAATATAATCACATAAAATTTCATATTTTCACTTTTTACACGATGACTGCGACCATGGTAAATATAATTCACTGGMAACCGACAGAATAAGCTTCAATAGTGTATGCAATTATTGAATAATTGCAATAATAAAATTGTCAAAAATATCCGTATCAAACTATTATTTTATAGGAACGTGAAATGCGGGTGGTGGGAGTTTACCAATTGTGCTAAAAGTATCTTTTCATATACCAAGTATTGCGTTCATTAATTTTCAAGATTTATAATATTATAATTGATATTAATGGTAAACTTTTACAACGACAATATCATTATTCATTATCGTTACATAAAAAAGTAACTATAGTACATCATTGTATTACTCCGTATATGTAGTATATCATATTATATAATTTATATATATATAGTGCGTGTAACGTACCAATTAAGTGGATGAATATGTAACGATCGTAATGATGATGAAAACATGTAATCGTCTATCATTCATATTCATATTTTATTTGTCGCGAATCAATAAAATTTTTTGTGTTTTTCACAAATATCGATATATTGACGGTAAATAAAAATAGTMGGTATGTTATAAGGAGATCAAAGTATAACCAGCGCAATTGGTTTACTTATCTGAAATTTAAACGAGAATATACGCGCGAAAAAATCTTAGTAAACGATGTACTGGCATTGTGTCATTGTATCATTGTGATGACAATAACAGTGTTATTGGTTTTTTTGAAAAATAAAAATCTGATGATAACTAATAATTATTACGATAACAATACTTATACAATATGTTTATATGATATCAGTGACAATATAATATCTTCAAATCGCATCCGAAATGCATCGTTTTCTTACAATGATAATCGTCTATATCAGCGGTATTTGGCTCTGCACGCCCGACGACCAATTGGGTCGCTACGACTTATACAATGCGTATAGGTATAATWYWTTTTTATAAAACACCAACGAATTACCGTATTTTATATTATCGTGCTATGGCAGGGTTCGGAACCGATTTTTGGGYTTATATTAACTGTTRTTGCGTAAAAACAGAACTAGCGGTCAATATTATAGTAATTGGGTATTTTTTTTTTTATTTCTAGTTTTGTTTTAGATTTGTGTCGTAATCACGCACAATTGACGGTTACTGCGCAGTTCTAGTCAGACTAATCTCTTCCGAAATTGGTGCGGCACCAATGGTGCCCGTTGCAATCCTTACCTATTGTACATACATTATATATTCTATTATACAGAGTGATTCATTTAAGTGGGCACACTAATTATATCGAAAAGTATTAACTTTTTTTAATTTTTTTTTTTTACTTTAAGGTTTATGTTTTTTTTTTATTAAACCGTGTAATATTTTAATTTTTTTTCACCTTTATATTTATTAGTGGAACCACCCTCAACTTTTGATTTTCAAATGGTAACAAATAATAAAATTATTATGAATTAATAAAACCATTTTTTTCATTAATTTACATGTCAACATTTTTATTTTTCATTGATTGGTTTGCGAGATACAGCTCCTCAAAGTATTAGTGATGGTTTTCACTATTTTTATAATARTTGTAAAGACCAGGAGCTAGTGATAAATTCGATATCGTTGAATCCAAGATAACAAAATAATTGACGATTAATTAAAAGATTACTATTAATTGTACTTTAAACSTTAATCATTTTTTACTTATCGGCTAGAAAAGTTATTTTTTCCTAGTAATTGTTACCTATAAAGTCGAACAGTATCGAATTTATCAGTTATAGCYTCTAATTTTTACAAATGAAGAAAAAGTTTAAACAATGCCTCATTTACCGATTAGAACATATGTCTTTCAATCTCTAATAACTTGAGGAACTGTATCTCGCCAACCTGCAATTAACGAAACATAAAAATGTTAACGTGTAAATTCATAGAAAAAAAAACGATTTATATAAGTTTATAATATTTTAATTGACGTATGTTAGATACCATTTGAAAAAAAATTGATTTTGGTTTCACCAATAAATAAGGGTGAAAAAAAATTAAAATATTATACGGTTTTAGAAAAACATAAGCCTAGAAGTTAAAAAAAAAAAAAACGAAGTAAATAATTAGTGTACCCACTTAAATGGATCATTCTGTATATTATTCATATACAGAYGACTGTTATTATATATACGTATCTGCACACTGATGGATTCATGGATGGACATTTAGTGGTTGTTTTGCTGTCTTGTTACCATTGTTATACAATAACACAATACACAATAATATTATAACTGCGTGATGATAATGAGCAGCAGGGTTCTTCACAGCATATTTTATACACGATTTTGTGCTCTTCTGATTGCATATACTAAAAAAACCAAAATACGGTTTCACCTAGCTGTATATAATATATATACAATTATACATGTGAATATATTACAATATTATCATTGATGATGATTATGTAATAGAACTTACTGTATTTCTTGAGGTGGGGGAACGAGGTACTCAACAATGTTCGTCCTAAGTTTAATATTTAGGCATTTTTGCTGTCCATTATTTTATTTTATGTCGTAAATTCTAAAGGTTCTAGATCACTGTTTTTTAACTGACGTTAATGACAAGCATCACATAATCACATATGGGCTCAGATTATATCGCGTATAATATTAATTTATTTTGTTTTCAAAMACGATCAATTTAAAGCGTTATTAGCATTATTTTCAAGATAGATAATATTTATCTATCACATTTAAATCAKTAATTAATTAATATTCATTAGAAATTTGGCTCGTTAGTATTATAGCTCAGAGCTCTATATAACATTTGTTTCAAAACTAAATAAATATTATCGATTCAGAAAAAGTGATTAGATTGTTTCTCAAATTATAAACTATATGAATATATGATACAATTGTTGTACCCAAAACTTCGGCTTTTATATAGTTATTGAAATATTTAGTCATTGGAATTTGGGATTGTTGAAATTTTTTGAGAGATTTTTCGTAATTCAATAATGTTTAGATAGAAATACTCGTATATATTTATGCTTTGTCCTGCAGTCGGTGACACTTACAGCGAATAATAATGTATCGCGATATTTATTTAAGAAAATTCAAAGAATTTTGATTATATCGGTATAATATGCTGTATATATTATAAAATATGTTTTCTATTAAAAGAATATTTGATTTATTCAAATTACCGAAATTATTTTAGATTATTATTATTATAGTTTACGGTCGTGAGCACGTAGTCCTGAAACCAAGTGCTAAAATTATTTTTGTAAACGTCAACGTTTCATAAAWAATATTAGTTTATATTCATATTATGAAATAAGAATGATTGCATTTAAAATGYCATAAACATAACATAATATGCTCTTTATTTCTCTTGTTTAGTTAATTATTTCAAACTCATCTAAATTGCGAAAAGTACCTACTCTATATTTTATGACATTTTTTTACTGTGTAAATTATCCACTTTGAGATTTAAATAGTGTTTTTGTTTTTAGAAATTATGAATTTGTGCCAAATATAATATAGTTTTATTTGTCACCTCGTCGTTRTAATGTAACATAATAATATTATAATATACAATTTATAATACTGTGATGATAATATTATACTATGCCATGAATGATAAATTAATTACTGAACAATTAAACACATTAAACTAAATTATTGTTTCATTACATGATGATAACTTTAAAAAAAAATGTTAAATTTTTAAGTTTTTTTTTCTGACGACGACAGGTCAAATGTTCATGATGAATCGCTTTTTCGACGGCGCGTTTCTGACGTTTGGTATCGATGTAATCCGATTTCTGGAGAGCGACCAAGAGGACCGAGTGGACCCGATGATATTTATATTTCCCAGGATGACAAAATGCATTTTCCACAAATTCGGAGTGTCCGGCGAGGTGGAGACGCACGACTCCATATGCATATTGCCGCTGAATGCCGTCAACGAAAAGATCTACGTCTTCCTGTGGTTTTGGTTCATGATCCTCGGCGTCTTGTCGGCGGCTGTGATCGTTTACAGGTATTGATATATGTTCTCGCCGGTGTCCTAACTGGAATAATTATTTTTATGTTACCTATTTGACTACCTATATATTAAATGTAAAAAATATTTATTGACCCCTTCATCCTCTTCCTCACACATTATAGAAATAACTATAATGTTATGGTTTAGGATTGAATAATGGCGGGGGGGGATATGTTAGCAGATAAGCTTTTAGGTCTGAACGTTATAAAGGAAATGAACAAAATATAAAATTACTATTGAATCTCGATAACTCAAATTGTTTTCTGGCATCTTTGTATTCTACGTTTAAAATTCGAAAAAACTTAAAGATGAATTTATTTTATTCCCTTTGAGATTCGAGTTATCGAGGCTCGACGTATATAACGTACGACAACAATATTACATAGCGACCGACGCTACTGTTACAGGACTCGTGTAGTCATAGGTGTGCATAAAGGTTACATAATATATTAATATAATATAATATGTTATGTAATAATCAATATTTTTCTAGCGAAATTGAAAATTGTTCCATCTCATGTTTGATTTTTTAAAATTATTATAACATATTGTTACATCATACCAACGAGAATAGACATTTTTTTTTAGAAAATAAGATGAAAAAAAATCGTTAGAAGGTGAAATGATTTGAAAATTTTCAAAAAATAAATTGTTTTCCTTTAAATTCGTAAATCGGACAACATAATAATATACGGTCCAAAYAACTTTTAGTTTTACACARTAKRTACAATATATTATACAGTCACTATATAATAGATATAAGATTTCATTGAATCGGATGTTAGACGATCTGCAGGGTTCATAAGTATYCGTATAAAATGTTTTCTACTTTCTGCAGGTTTACATTTCACATAGAATTTTATAGACCATTGTAATTTATTTATTACGATTAAAGATTTAATAGTAAAATATAAAATGCTGCCCTATAAAAGACATAGGTATATCGTATATAAGTATACAATAACAGGTTTAACTACAAGCGGAAAATAAAACAAAATACACAATGCGTCGCACAAAAGTTAATCAAAACAATAAGCCAATAAAAAAAATGTCAACTTTATGCACAAGGTCGTTTCTATTATGCAATAGCATCAATTTAAAATTGTTGATTTAAGTTTTACATAATTCATACGATATAGWGGCACTACATATGGATCTCGATGATGATTTGATGCGAATACTTCCTATTATTGGTTCAATTTTGTTATGTTTAAATCGTATTTAACATATTATATTATTTAGGCTTGATAACAGATGGTATATAGGTACGTTAGTTTGGTTTTAGTTAATATAATATATATTTTCAGCTTATATATTCTTATCAGTTACCGGATAGCCAAAAATAAATAACTGTTATAGATTTGTTTATGTGTTTACAACTGAAAAGATAAATCTTCAAGAAAATAATATATTGTACGAAACTCTTCGGAGCGTATCCATTCGAAAGCTGTGATAATTAGATTAGCATTAATTTTCTTTTACTTCGTTAACGAAGCTGCACGCTAGGAAATGTGTTACTATAGTATATATACATAGTATTAATTGTTGGTCTATAGAAGGTAATGATTAATACAGCAGATGTTGTTTTCTCCAGTTTTAAGAAAAACATTTCAACCGATGACTTATTGTTTTTACATGGACTGCAATGCGAAAAAAACTGCCAACGTGAAAACGAAAATAATAATATTATTATTWTTAAGCACGATTCTCGAATGTTAAATAAAACAAATATCGAGCACGTCGTCGTAATAATAACAAAAATAATATTGTATATTTTAGAGATTAATAATATATAACGTTATATATAGAAAGTTCCGTTTTGACGAATCTCAATAAGCGTGTCATTAATTATTATACGTTTTTAATAGCAGCGGGACGATATAATATTAATATCATACGCTATTGCAACAGTATATAGTATAATATTATAATACATCATACCTGTTGAACTGTGGTTAACTATACCACTTCAGCAGTGCCTATACTGCGGTAAACTGTGCTTTGATCTCGTAGATGTCAGACGTAAGAGCATATAATTTAATTTTTATGAAGTATACATTATATATATTATATAGCTATTATTACTGAAGACAACACATTTTATCGGAATAGAAAAAAATCTAAAAAATATTTAAACTTTTTTGGTTTGTTTAAGTATTGACTTTTCCATTCTAACTCTTCAATGTTAATAACAATAACGTAGTAAATACATAATAAATGGGCTTTGAACAATTTGATTTTAGTCAGAAATCTACATCTGTGGTGGATATGAAATTTGACATTACATTACTAGATACTGCAGGTCACTAATATAGGAAATTTATAGTCGTAGAATAGATATAAAAATGCTCTGACAATTTTTTTCAACTAAATATAAAAAACATATTTTTATTTTATTTAAGGTTCATCATAATAGTGTCGCCGCGAATGCGCGTGTACCTATTCTGCATACGATTCCGGTTGATCAAACGGCAGGCCATCGGAAACATCGTGCGCCGGTCGAAGCTGGGCGATTGGATGCTGCTGTACGTGCTCGGCGACAACATCGACTCGGTCGTGTTCAGAGACATCGTGCACGATTTGTCGCACCGGCTGGAAGCGTATCACAACAAAAACTCGACGGTCAGGACGGTGGACGCGTGACGGCAGCGGTGGTGGCTTGCTGTCGGCAGTATAATATTATTGTGCTCAAATCGATAATAATATTTGGTCAGTATATAACGCAATTTAATTATGACCCTCTATTATATTAATATGTGTGAGGAGGAAGCGGTATTTTGGGCGTGAGAGTTTTGACATTAAAATAATAAATGCTCGTTTTYGGAGATATATTTTTTAAGTCTACAATAAAATTGTTTCTGTCTTTACTATTGTTTGATCCAGGCGTGGTTGTCTCCTATAATTATCACGGTTGGTTTTTAGACTTAATAACGAATATATTCTAATTTCTAATTGTGTTCTGTTTCGAGGGAGTATCATACCAGCTATATATATTATATTTGCTATTTTGGTCTTTATTATTTTGAATGTCTTCATATACTGAAACTGCAATACATGATGCCGCGATGGAAACCACAAACGCACATGATTCGCAGGTCTAGGAAGTATTATTAGCGTGGCGCTCATCACTCTAACAGGCCCACTTTATTATATTAAACCGATGAYTTTGTTGGCCTGTTCAACTATATCAAACAATCAAATGCGTGTGCATTCGCATATATTCATAAATATGCGTAATTTTCGGCACCTTCGAGGCTTTGACAAAAACAATCCTTTTTGGTGTATAAAATCGACTATGATTCATAAAACATGTTGGATAGCGYTATTTGAAGTAGCTACTTATTAGTTATTACTATTATATATATATTTAAACAATATTTAGTTTAAACCTGTTGACGGGTATAATCAACTAAATTGATAATAATAAAAATAAAATCCTGACTATRAAATCTTGATTTTTCACGACGATTCGGCCGGATTTATTATTTATCGCATGTACATAATATGTACCTACTTAAATMTATGTTCGTATACACGTAATACTTGGCAGAGAATGACGGGTGTTAATTTTTCGTTTGTCTYGAGTTCATTGTGTTCTGTCTGCCGATAGTGTTTATTCAAGCCCGAGCTGAATAAGGGTTTATTAATAGATATAATAATAATAATAATAATAGTATAAAAAAGAGCTTGACCGAAATTTCACGTTTTATTTTTGCTTCAGTCTAAATTTGATGTCTCCTGGATTATCTTTTGTATTCTACAGGGATATAATGTATAATAATAATATGTATAGTTACCTACATTCCTTTTTTATCCACTGTTCATTATTTTTATGCACACACGTTGACTTAAAATTAAATTGTTCGTTCTTTTATCACGTAAAATAATACATTTATGTCTCTCATTTGTTTTGTTTAATCATGTAAATAGTTAGTTAATAGTAAATAGTTTTTTCCTCGGCATCGACAGCCAATAAATTAATAGCTTTACGATTATATCCTTTTATGATATTCTAACGTTACGAACATTCCTATAGCTAAACCTATAAATTATGATATAATATTTATATAGATTCATGTACTATAATAGTCTATATAACGCACTTGGAGATTTCAAAATGTGCTTACATTTATGCATTTAAAATCACTTCTTTACACAATCGTCAATCTCACTAACAGATGTTATTTTGYTGTCATCAAACAATCATATTTTTCACCGAACGTTTTGTTATTTATTTTTCTACGGTATTAAATTATATGGAAAAAAAAATATAACCATCTCCAAGCTCGTATACCAAGCTTTTCAGTACATGCTTATGCTTATACCAGTATTCCTAAAATTTTGAGAGCGACATCGACACCTCTGTATTATTTTTCACCATTCCTATATATTATATTATGATACCTATGTTAGTATAAGCCACAAATCCCAGGGGTTTAATATTGGCAATTACAGTGAAAATTTTGGTAATCAAAGGTGACTCGAAGGTCATAGGCAAATTCAATATCAGCCTTGTGGAGTAAGAAGACTTATGGGCATTCAATGAATGTACAAAATATGATGCCAGCCCATGGGCTCAGATAGCGTATAATATTATTGTGTTCACGGTTTATAAGTATAATAAAATGTCACTTTCATTGTTTCAAAATATTTTTGTCTCGTGATTTCGCCTCGAACTTTACTATACCTCGCGGTTATCTAACCATAAGGTTTTCAAGGGTTCAAACACCAAACTGGTTTGACAATTGTCGGTATAGGAGGTATCAATATTTCGCTTAAATGCCGCTAGTGTCCACAGACGCTTGTTTATTTGTATTGGTATAACAATAGTCCAAGGACCGATCCGCCGCCGCATTCCTCAATAATTATTTATTATTATCGAGCCGGCGTGAATAAATATGTATAATATCCGTGAACATAGAAATTTTTACAGTAGACTGATATTAACAGACGCACCTAACATTTGGTTGAGCAATATATATTATTGTTAAGCATCAATTGATATTTTTTGAAATACAAACGTTTATTTTATCTCTCTCCGTGTGCATATGTGTGGATAATWGTTATGGTGATAAAAAAATGAATAAGATTATATGTGTAACAGTGTAAMATAATCATAATATTCATACCGACGATAAAATGTAGGTGTCGCGATGATTTTGTTTTTACAGTCGGTCTCTAACTAAAATCCATATTGCAGACAACAACRTTTTATAATATTTTGGTAATAAACCGTCGTAAAAAAATATTTTATTCTATTTGATTAAGAATACCATTTACCAAAATTTTTTTTACCATCTTGTTAAAGCACCATATTTAAAATTTTTATGTCCAGAACACAAACATAATATTTTAACAAACCATTTGGCGGTCCATCCGAGTATTCGACTGTTTAACGCTGTTATCCTATTGCAGGATTTTTTGGAAATTTGTTGACACATCTCATGTCAATAATTGCCTCAATAAAAAATATAGCATGTATTTTACTTGGTAGTTTTCTGTTGGTTAAACCTTTAAATATGCTCTGTGCGTTTTTATTTTCACTGTGGCATCGTCTACTCTAAAGCATAATRTATACAGTAAACGTATATAGAAAGCTATAAYAATCTGACCGAATGACCGTGATCGACGGAAWAAGAGTGTGCTGGACTGAACGTCTGTACATCGTATAAGTACCCAATGTTGTTATTATACTTGGATAAATGAGTAATTTTAGGGTTATTCTTATTTCATCAAGGTCTGATAATCAAAATCGACTCGTGTAGATGTGTAAGCGATTAATAGCGCGTTGCATTCGAACGAATAACTTAACCGCGCCGACGCAGCCGGTGGTTTTTCGTCTTCTTATTATACATTCTTGTGCACATAAGTGCGAAAAAAAATGGACCGTTACGAGCGGTTATTACAACAGTGTAATACAAAAATTCGTATCTTGATAACCACTAAATATTCGTAGAAAACTAAATATTTTGACACGAATAATATTTCTTTTGGCTTGAGTTGGGGGTCCATTTGAAATTTTTAAGACAACATGCTGGCTGTTGCAACAGAGTAGGTATACCTATGCGTATARCACTTAAATWATATATTATAATTACACAAAATTATTATTTTAAGTGCAGTGAATATAATAGGATACTCATTATTCCGAAAAGTATTAAGTTGTACYGAACTCACATATTTTTTAAATTCCCGAGACAGAATGTCTAACTGTTTATAACTTATATAAGCGTGTTAATAGCTTAACGTAGGTTGCATTACTTTAATCTATAAACAAGAGTAGATAAATATAACATTTGTATTAACTGCAGGCTTTAAAATGATAAATTTATTAGTAGACAATTTATTTTCTTCTATGTTATTAATATTCGTAACTTATTGTAACCGCGTCAAGATTTTAGGTACCATATATGAAAACATAAATGAGGCCCACCGTTAGAAAAACATAAAAATAAAATCATCATCGAGATAGCAAAAAAATAGTGAAAACACATAATCGATCTAGTACGAAAAGAACTGATGAAAAAAATGCTTACTTCGTGAAACAAAAAAAATATTATAAATCGTGAATACATTTAAATTTATGTATCCCGACCAAAAGCCGTTCCGGGATGGAAAAACTGGAAGTCGTCCAACCGCAGCTGCATCTAACTATGGTATAGATATATTATAATGCGTCTCGTCAAACAGTGATTTTTTACCCGACGACGATACATTATTATTTTGTCAGTTTTCTAAACAGTTTGTACAACTTTACTGTTACGTCGTTATACACGCGATTMTATAATAATAATAATTATTATTATTACAATAAAATATACGACGTCCATCGTTGTGGAAACGATCTAGTATTTTAGCGATTTGCAGCACGATCACCGGAACTGGCACCGGTTTCGTTTAGCGCGAAAAAGTTATTTTTGAGTGAATATCGCGATTAGCAAGTCGATTTCAACGTTTACGATCGTGCCATTAATGAACGTTTTTTATTGTCATAATGTATACAGTTATTCACGATATGCCGAGCTTTTGATGTTTGGGCGTTTAAAAAATAATAAAACGATTTTTTCACTTGGAACGCCATCAATGACACACACACACACGTACACACGATATATATAATATATTATACATCAGGCGGCAGGTCTTATAAACACGTTTCTGGAACAACGCACGGCTCCGCGCAAACGGAAACGATTATTCGAATTTGTTTAACGTTTTCCCGGAATAAYGCTTTAGGCACAGTGTCCATTAGCAATTTTCTCACAGAGACCCTTTTTTTAATATAGAATATCCTTGGACGGACGGCAATGTATATAATGTATAAATATGGGTATTATAAATATAATAATGTGTGAGSTTTGTACCACACCATATGTGGTTAGATTTTTCTCTCGTCCGCTGGCGCGATCAAGCGTGCAACGATAATAATATAACACGCGTGCATAATGTACATAATAATAATAATATAGATTTGCGTCGATTTTTATGACAACTGTTTGCGATTTTTTTCCTCGCGTCCGCAGAACTGAAATACAAAACCACGAATCGTTGAATTTTTTTTCAATCGAATAACATGGTTCTTAGGGTTTTATAATCCATAATATTATTAGATTTTCCGATTGCTTATCATCACTTGTATACTCAATGACCGATATCGTTGAAAATCGTTTCTATTTTCACTTGTGCAAGCTGCACCTTACTGGCTAATGCTACTGTATAGGTAAACTTCCTCATGTATACGTATTTCTATATGAACTAAATTGAAAATGATTTAAAATTTTAGACTTCATAATATTTAAAGGTAGGTTATACGTTTATTCTGTTTATCTTCGGATCTTGTCGGTTGGCTTATTATAAATGACTTGKGCTCGGAAGTTGTAGGAGCTAAAAAAGGTGAAATATACACGAAAAAATTGCAAAATATGCATTAAAAATGTTAAATATGCAAAAATATTATTCTGAATTCCAAAAATATACGCACTTCACCTACTAACAATACTACGTCTAAAACGAAACTGTCATTGTCAAACATCAATCGTGTACAATCAACAGTAACGATAAACGAAGAAACCATCATTATATTTACGAAAACTTATCGACGATAAGATAGTACTACAAATAAGTATTTTGGCAAACTAGCGTGATAGACTAAATGYGTATCACATCAGTACATCACTGTTATTAACTCCGTAATTGACTATGGCGATGACAATAAATACCTTCGTTGKTCRTTTTGAGYTKTATATTCAATATTAGTTGAAATAAACAGGTTAAGAAAGAAAAAAATCAATTATTTTTAG